GAGTAGGGTCTTATGGGCGACAGCCTGACTGTCAATATGAATGTTTATTCGCACAATCGTCAGATTTATTTCGGTCAAGGCCAGTAAAATGCAGCTCCCGCTCCTTCCTACATTTTGAACCGTCAGTGTAAATATGCATCCCAACATCTGGCTGGCCTTAAGAGCATAGCCAAGATATGAAAAAAATGTATCGGAAAAACCGCTTGAGACGAGTAGATAAATATTTTCAGAATGTTCTATAACTTTGGAATTGGTTTCGAATAGTGACTTCAATGCCTTGCTTTAGGCTAACCCCAACCTGTCCATCTACGGGTTATTGTCATGTAAACAATTTATTTTTCAGCACGAAATTTCAGCTTCAGTTGACCAAAAAAACAAAAATTTAACAGAAATGCATCGAAGCAGAATTGGCTAAGTTTTCAAATTGCAAACGATGTGCTAATAAAAAAAATATGCATTTTTATTTTGGATCACGCATCGTAACCTTTTGAATAAATTGTTTTTTGTTTTCAACTATCTTATAATTAGAGCACATAGGCCTGCCACGTTTAGATTGACTCCTTTTATGCTCCAGAATACTATAAAAGTTGTCCGATTACAATTTTAGGTACGCGCCAGACACAACATACCTTAAAAGCCACGAGCATCAGAATTTCAAAAATGGAGTCACGCCACTTTCGACACTTCATAACGTGTTTTCTATTGCAAGCACATACTTCTAACGTATTCCCTTCGATTCTCATCTCCAAATACTACCAGTCCATTATAAAATCAAATATGAGCAATCAACGAAAAGTAAAAATAAAAAATAAAAAAAATAATAATAGGAGATTCACACTTTTATTTGTGAAAATTTCCCAATTTTATTTCTGAATTATATGCATATTTGGATTGAAAATATGTAAGATGGTCCCGATTTTTTTCAATGAAGGAGCGAAAATTAAGTGTTCGAATAAAAACTGTCAAGTCATGCGACAATTCGAACTAATTGAGAATTGCCCATATACTATTTGATTAATTTTTCTCACTCAAGGAAAAATAAATCCCATTACACAACATATAGCAGTTTCAGTTCATTCATTAAAAAAAAAAAGTGAAATAACTTGCTAACATATTTTCATTAGTTTCACTAGCATAATTTTTAGTTACTTCCCCTAACTTTTTTTAAATTAAGCACAAAATATTATAAACGTAAAAAA